CAATATCATGGTCAATATCACGATATTCCCAAGAGGAGAAAACCCGAGCAAAGCAGAATACTCTGCAAATTGACTGTGGTAAAAACGTTCGGATCCCAAAAGTGATCCAACACATAAGAAAAGCTGTAAAGCAAAGCAAGGCAGGGGAGCCAAGCTGGAGAGCTGCTGTACGCTGGACCCAAACCAACTATAAAACATTGCTGCAAACCGGGAGGTGGAGTTGCAGGTCCCGGCCAGCCGGGGGTGTGCCGGCTGCAGCCAGGCCCCCCGGAGTCCAGAGCCGTGCAGATCCCGAAGCACAGCAGCTCCTGCCTGCGCAGAAACCCGGAGGTGACAGGAGTGTCTGCAGACTCCCGCCTGTTGTGTAACAGACAGATGTCTCGGTATGTCTACAGCCACATGCTCCCACATGCTCTCCGAAAGGGAACTCGGGTACATCCTGCTGGGGCTGAGTCCGCACCCTCTTTCTGCACCATTTCCTCCCTGATATCGCGAGGCAACCTGCCAGGGGCTGTCTGGCACAGGAAAGTGCTTAATAACAGGGTCACACACTAAGTGCTCCTTGTTTCTGCAGCATCAGCACAGCACAGCAGAGCAGCGCGCTCCAATGCCTTCGGTCTCAGCTACAAGACTGTATCCGCGTCTGGGGACACTGGAGGGTCCAGAAAAGCGCTATATAAGTGTAAGCAATTAAAAACAGCCAGCAGCCATATCAGTCTGCAACTCACAACTGGCAGCCCCACTGAAGCTCAGCAGGTGTGAGCCTGGTCAGTACCTGGATGGGAGACCTGGTACTGACTAAGGTTGCTGCTGGAAGAGGTGGTAGTGGGGTCCTGCAGTCTTCAGCTGAAGCAGGGAGAGCGTCAGTGCCTGTAATCGCGAAAGGTGCAGAGCAGAGCGAAGGGCGCAGACAGTCCGGGCCAGCTCATATCCCTCTGGCCAGCAGGTCACTCGGGTTCCAACGCTGGTCACATCCGAAAACTACCCCCTCGGTTTCAGTTTCAGGAAAGGGCAAGACCAAATTGCAAAACCCCCACATGAATTACAATCTGCGACCTTTCTGTAGGTCCCCGCCACGAGGTCGCGGGGGAAGAGTGTGCCTCGTTTTCTCCTCTTCTGCTCCACGTTTAGATTAGGACTGGGACTGAGCTCAGAACTGGGATGGATTCAACTCTGTCAAGGGCACCGATCATATCAATGCAACATTAAGCTTCATCTCAAGTATCTGATTAAAGTAATGAGGCTGTGACGAAATCTGAAAATCTGTTCTTTTCTCAATGAATTCTCTGGATGTCTAAAGCCAGGCCGTGTATGGCTTCATTAGTCTTGAAGGTACTGTAACACAAAGCCTGGCAGCAGCAGACCTTGTGACAAATCCAGACAGTATATCAAAAGAGCTATTACTGTTTTCCTAGAAAGCCAATGATTTGCTTTGTGCAGCCTGTTTTTTTTTTAAAGCGATGCAATTTTTAACCTGCTTGTCAACGTTTTTGTGTTGGGCTCCTTTTTCTCAAAGCTGAGACTGAGCGCATGCAGCACACCCAAGTCATTCTGAAAGGGGAATCTCGGTACTGTTCTAGAGAATCCGAGCAGCATGAATGACAGACCTAAAGGCTGAGCAAGGCCGAGGTTAATTCTAATAGAAAAAATGAAGCAGAGCACAACACAACAACAGACAGGGAGTAAAAAATATTCCATCTAGCATATTGAATGACAGAAAACTTAGCCTGCTCCTATAATTGTTTTGCATTGATCTAGACCAATTTACAGGATAACTGGAGGGTCTGTAGCACTTTAGGTTCCATTTCAAAATACAAAACGTCCATCATAGTATCATCAGGAAAGGGACAGCTCGCAGTTCATGCAATTAGGCAGCTGCGCTCTTAGTTTGGAATAGGACAAAGGAAAACCAAACTGCTGTGGTGAACTGCTAGGTGGCGCTGTTCCCTCTGGACCTGAACCAATGTGCTGTAGAAGGTGCAGGTCCTTCACGTGAGACATTAAACCGAAGTCTTGACAACTGGGTCATTACAGACATCACGGGCCACAACGGTGGCACTGGTCATTTGAGAAGCATAGGTGTTGTCCTGGCTACCTTTCTCCCTGGCCTCCCTAAAGCTCTGTCCTCATTCAGTCAGTGAAGCAGTGAAGCAGTTTCTCACTTCAGTGGGGCTTTGGGTGCAGAAAGGCTGGCTTGTGTCACCAAGGTGGGGACTGCACGTCAGTACAGCAGAAAGTGGTTCCCCTCCCACTGTGTGCGTAACGACTTTTGGGATCCCTGTGGGATAAAAAGTTCTATATAAATGCAATTACTCTGTAGTGGTAGCAGGGATCTGTGGCACGCTTTGTGTTGTGGAGCTGATACTTGTCGCTGAAGAACCCCAAGCATGCCTGATCAGTGACAGGCTAGAGAAACAGAGCAGAGACGCTTTCAACGATGGGCCTAAAGGATCAGCCCCTCACAGAGCAGGCCAGAGCAGCAACAAGCAAGGCCAGCTCACTGCACTCTGCATCTCATGGTACGGTTTTACAACATGCACGCAACAGTGAATAAATTTATATTTCTACCCATTAGAGCCAAACGGGAAGACTTCTTAGTTTTATGGCAGCACCCAATGAAATCTTTCCTTGCTTTAATGTAAAATGTTGCAAATTAGTCATTTAGTGCGTTATGTAGGAAAAAACCTTTCTCCACTGCATTGGGTAAAGGTGCTTTCTGTGCATTAATATATGTAAATTCATAAATAAATCAAGAGTATTAAGTTGCAGCAAGGCCATTTTCCAAGCTAGGCTCATTGCAGGGGAACAAAAGAGTCACGCAACTCAATCAGGCACATAAACGCAACGATTAAAACCAATTAGATGAGCTGTCACTGATCCCCGGCATGTACTGCTTAAGTCTTTAACCCTTGAAGGCATAATCTTGACTTGGCCAGCGTGGCTGAGTAGCAAAAGAGGAATTCTCGTTTGAGACGCCAGTAAGTCAGTTAGCTGGTCATTATTATAACAATTCCATGCTTTTCAACAGTATTTTTCATCTCAAAGTGCTTCACACAGAGAAGGGGACCGATTTCATTCCCCACCGGGTTCAAGCTCCTGCCTGGGTGACGTGCAGAAGTCATTCTAGTCTAGACTGTTAAGGACAAGCAGGGTGCTGCTGTAAGTGGTGAACTACCTTGGTGGACCAGTAGGTGGTGCTCTTCTCTATGGATTAGGATTTCCAAACCAATGGTCCAGTACTGAAATATAGGTAAGACTATCCTTTGAATGAGACTTGACCACTACATACGCCATGGCACTTATTGTTAGAGCAGTGGTGTTACCCATGGTGTCCTGGCTAAATTCCCCGCTGGGCCTCAACAAGCTCCCCCTTAATTCAAGTGGTAAAGTAACGTCCAACTCCTGCACCTGATCTGCTGGCCAGTGGGGCTGCGCTTGAGTGGTGTGTGAAGCAGATCCTGACTGGTAAAGAGTTTCGCTATCTTCTGGCATGGAGAAGGCAATATAAAGCAAAGGCAATAGGAATCTGAACATTTGAAATGCGAAACACCCTAGAGAGACAAAAAATATGCTCAATACTTTCCTAAATTGTTTCCTAAATATTGTTTTCTTCAATTAATTCAGATCTCCACTTCTTCATTTGTTTTTTAATTTTCAGAAATCCATCCATCATTTCTCATGGCTTTTTCAACAATAAAGTCAGCACAAGGTCTCCATCTAGAGCTCTGCACGCAAGACAGATCTCTGGGTCACTGGTACACTGCGACACGCATTATAGACTGTAGACTTGTAGTCCTAGGATCCAAAGGCAGGTTTTCTAACAAAGCTTTGACAAGCCCATAATGGCCCAGCTCTACTAATTATCGATAGCATGAACCACATTCGCACATCAAATCTGGCGTCTCGGCTAGCAGACCCACACCCACTCCACCCCCCGGCTCAGGGCTCACAGCTGCCCTCCAGGTGGCTGATGGGAATTGTAGTCCTGCGATCTGAATCCCAACACAGCAGGGTGACTGACACAGGGGGTGGCAGACCACACTGCTCAAGGTCACACCCCCGGCCTTCTCCGTGAGCAATCAGCCGATTCCAACACCCCATTTCTAATCCCTCAGTCCTCCCTTTTGGTGACCCCAAAAATGACACACAAAACCTATCAAACACCAATAAACGTCCAGACTTAAGGAGGTCACTGTTGTCTGGAACGCTATACAACAGAAAATAAGAATTTGAAAGGGTTCAAGCCTTAGACAAACGCTGTCACCGTCACATACTCTCTAGGCAGGAGACAAAAAGTACCTTGCTGCGTATTTTAAAGTGATCATTCCCGTAACAATTTCCCTCTGCTTATCTGTTTTCACAGCACGCATCCTTTTCCCTCGCAGCTGCCAAAGGTGGGGAGGTCTGAACCTGAACCTGCCAACAGGCACCACAGCTTTTGCAGGTGCTTCAGCTCGTCGACACACAACGAGAAAGTCAGGGCCCCTGGGCGAGATGATCTCTGCTTTCACAAACGGCTACTGGGGACCAAAAACAAGCTCTGGCACGGATCAGCCCATAACCCTCGGCCTGCATTGAGGGACGGTCAATGGCGTTGTTTTGGCTGCGACTCTTGGCATCGGTTACCGCAGCCGTGAAAAACCAGCGGAAGCTCATCAAAACCCAAGCCCCGTTCAAGGTCAGAGCCCAGCCGCCCCCCCCGGGGAGATAAAAGAAGATCGCGTTCGCCGACGCTCCTCCCTGACGGGCATCGGTATGTTAACCCCTCACCCTACAACGCAAGGCACCAGCTCTGCAGCTCTGCGCAAACCGGGTACAGGAAACCCCCGGCCTCGCAATCCCAGCAGCCCCCACCCGAGGTCCGGCTGGCTCGTTAAAGCCCGCTCCTCACCCGGGTACAGGAATCCCCCGGCCTCGCAATCCCAGCAGCCCCCACCCGAGGTCCGGCTGGCTCGTTAAAGCCCGCTCCCGCCCCCTCGGGTCGGCCCGGCCCGGCTCACCTTGATCGGCCCGGTGCTGAAGCGGATCGTGCGACTGGGCGGCGGCTCCTCCTCGGGGGGCAGGCCGGGGATCTCGCAGCAGCTGGACTCGGGCTCGTAGGGTTCCTCCTCTTCCTCCTCCGCCTCCTCGTCCTCGTCCAGCTGGCTGCCGCCCGAGTCCTCGCCGATCCCGCTGTAGGCGCTGATGTCCACCAGGTCGGCCTCCGAGTAATCCTCCTTGCGGGACTCCTCGCCTCCCTCCTCCTCCCCTTGTGGGGACTCGCCCTCTCCGGCCTTGCCCCTCTCCGCCTCCGCCGCCCTCTCGAGGCCAGCCGGGGCGTCGGGGGGACCAGCGCCCGTCTTGGGGGGCTCTCGCTCCAGATCTGCCTCTCCGTTTTCCAGGGACGCGTGCACCTCCGCCTGGACTAGCCTGCTCCTGCTTTCTGGGGTGCTGGGGGCACCGGGCTCCTCGTGACCTCCGGGCGTGACCCCCGCTTCGCCCGCCGGTCCCTCAAACTCCTCCTGGCTCTCCCCCTTCCCCTGCTGCTGCTCCGCTGGCGGGCTCTTCTGCTGCTCCTCCGGACCCGAGCCCGCCCGGCCACCGGCCCCAGCGCTCTCGGAAGTGGGCGTGTCCTCCTTCCTGGCCGCCGGCTTGGCCCCGCCCCCCGCGGACCCGTCCTGGTCCTTCAGCCGCCCGGCCGCCGCCGCCCCCCCGCCCTCCTCCTCCTGGGGTGGGAAGACGCGCGCCCGCTTGGCGATGACCTTGGAGTTGAGCGCCGCCACCCTGCCGGGCGCGGAGGCGGCGGCGCCGCGGGTGGGCAGCGGCGAGGTGGGCGGCCGGTGCATGTTGTTGCGGAGGTCGGCCTTCTCGAAGACGGCGCTCAGCTGGCTGACAGTGGGGGACACGGCCTCCCCGGCGCCCCCGGCGTCCAGGCTGTCCAGCGACTCGGTGCTGCCGTTGAAGCGGACCACCACGTCCAGCCGGCCGTCCTGAAAGCCCGCCGCCCGCTCCTTCTTCAGCAGGATGCGGTTGGTGGCCGCCTGCTTCTCCTGCAGGTGGCGCTGCTCGAAGATCTTGCGCGTCTCCTGCAGCTTGGAGAAGCCGGGCGGCGGCCGCGGCTGCCCGTCCGGCTTGGAGTCGAAGCGGCTGACCCGCTCCGAGACGGTGGCGCCCAGCTTGAGCAGCGCGCTGTGGTCCACGTTTTCGTTCAGGCTGCTGGCCCGCGGCAGCGACAGGCGCACCGACCGCTCCTTGGCCGGGTCCTCGCCCTCCCCCGGCGCGGAGGAGCCCATCTGCAGGAACATGTTCTTGATGCGATGGACGTTGGAGCCGTACCTCCGGCCGCGGGAGGAGGGCTTGGACTTGCAGTCCGCCGCCTCATCCCCGTTCGCAGCGCCGCTCAGGGCGTCCCTGGCCTGCTTCAGCGCCTGGATCCCCGCCTCGTACGCGTTTCGGTGCGGGGAAGCGCTCCGCAGAGTGGAGCTGGTGTTGCTGGCGCTCGCTGCGGACGGGGATTCAGTCTTCATCATGGTGAATCACGAGTCTCCGAGCCTGGGCAGTAACGGCATAGCTCCGCTTCTCCCTGCCGGCAGCGCAGCGCACGGCAGGCGCATCCACCATCGGCGGCAGGCGGGTTGAGCGACAGGGGCGCAGGCGACGCGCAATCGGGCGACAAGCGGGAGGGGGGAGAGAGAAGGAGGAGAAAGAAAAACAGATCAGGCTGATGAAGCTACGATCTTCGGCAGAAATCTAACGTTATGTGCAAAGGCGGGGAGGGGGGGGCGAGGTCTGATGGCACACTGTGTCTGTTCCAAAATCAGATCAATTGGGGAGGGAGAGGGGGCCCCCCAAAAGTAACCTACACGCGCGCAAGTACAGATTTCAACATCTGTGTCACGATCGCCAGATCCCCGAGCTGAAGCGCAAGCCGAATAATCAGTTTAGAGCACCGGCGATCCCTGGATTTCTCTGCCGGCGCTGGATTGCTGCTGTATAATCCCTTTTCATGACATCATTTTGATCTCTTGAATTTTCTCAACTGCTCTGGTGCAGATTGTGGTCCTCCCGCTACAGCAGAAGCTCCTGCTGCAAAGAGGAAGGCCCTCGCTGGGTCTTAACGCCGGTCACGTGTGGTGGTGGGGGGGTATTTTTCCATCGTATTTTTATTGGGGGGGGGGGAGTCCGATCGATGACAGGGTTATTAACCAACACAATAGGGAGATTGGAGCTTTACGGCACAGGAAGCGGTTTCCAAAAAAAAACAAAACACAACGTCACTTATACGGAGGATTTTCAACAATCTTTTGTGAAAGCCTCCCCCACTCAAAAAACATCTTTTACGGCATGCTTTTTTGGAAAGAAAACGGGCTGATGTACCACGCAACGCAATCTATTAATCCCTATGCAGTTCTGTCCTGTTCAACACAAATGTCCCTGTTTTTACTAGTATCTTTCGTCAATAAAGATCCGTAAAGACGTACAGAGCTGACAGAAATCAAATGTGCATATGTAAGCAATAATGTAATTATTGCCATTTGCCCTAACGGGTGCTTCAAAGCGCCTCCTTTTTAAGGCAATAACACAATCCTTTAGAATAAATTAATCTATAATGTAGTTCCCGGAAGTGCTTCGGTTTCGTGAATAGGCGCTTTCTGCTAAGATTTCTGGAAATGTTATTACCGTTATTTTGTTCATGGGGCTCCACGTCCCGCACACGATACACGAAAAAGCGGACAATGTGAGCCTCGAGCCCTCAAAAATCACGACTTAAATGTCCTTGGGGGGGGAGAAAAATAGCAGAATACTTTGGTTCGTCCATATTATTTTTTTTTTCACGCGGTTACACTCGCACGTCTCCCTGTTTGTACATCGGATCTTAACCTAGCGATGCCCGCTTGTGTACTCCTGCAAAATAATCACGCTCAACGGCGCTCACCCCTTCGGGTTCCAACTATGCGAAGAGCAAACCCACTGATATTCACGTCGTTTAGTCCGCCGCGGTAACAGCACTCCTCTGCAGCTTTGTTAGGTTTAAAAACATCCTCCCCGACACATACCATGAACTGCCAAATCCAAAGACATCAGAAAAAGCACCCGGTCTCCTAAACATGCCAGAGCCAATCTTATGCGTCGCAAACGTAGGACGTGAGCACAGTAATCAGGCGGTATATTAATTTCCAACATACAAGCACTGGGGGTCTCTTGTCGTGTCCCTCCTCAACGGCCTACTTAGAGTCGCTGCGCTTTAAGACCCAGCGGAAGTCGTAGGCCTCTGCTGCGTTCTGCTTGCTGATGCCTAGGTTTTGCTACGTTGCTTCCTGCATCTTATAATTTCCATAATAACAGTCCCCCCTTTAAAAAAAAACCCCAAGGGGAAACCACCCCCCCCCCCAAGCGATTTCGGCCGGGCTGCGCCCACTGCGCGCCTCGGCCTGAGTCGTTACCTCGTTTTCAGTGAGTACCGGGGTCCCCGCGCGTCATTAGGGTCCGGCTGCGGGTCGCTCCATTGTGTCCACGCTGTGTTTTTGCTGTTTGATTCCCCAGCGAGATCTCGGCGCTACCGCCTGCCTGCCTGCCTGCTCTCTCTCTCTCTCTTTCCTCTCTCACTGCATCACCGCGAACATATGGCATCACGACGATCATTAACCCCTTCCGCGCTGAAAGTCGCCGATGCCTGTTTTTTTTTTTTCTCGGCACAATGCGAGCGAGCGAAGGTGACATTGTGGGGCTCCCCCGTAATTGAAACACCCACAAAAGAGGCTCTTTCGCACTTCTGAAGAAATAATCGCAATATATTGTCCATAATTAATACAATTCATGTAGTCCGGGCATGAAAGGGCTGCTGTTCAGTTTGTACGTTCTTACGCATCTCATCTCTGTGTGCGTTATACAGAGAGAACGATTAATAAGGGACTACGTGCACTAAACTAAAAAATATAAACTGCTCTGTATATAATGTGTAATGTATTTCATTTGCAATACATTTCACTTAAAAGGTAGGTGATATATATATATAATAGGAATCCGCTGAATACATTTTGCAATAATACAAATAGAAATTCACGATATTACTAGTTTTGGGCGCTTTATTTTAATGCTCTTAACATCTCCCTGTCTGTCCTGCAGGTGGAGCGCAAATCGCTTCGGTTGCCCTTATTAATCCTGATTTTCCGCCTCCTGCGAGGCCAGGCCCCCGCGGGTCATGGAACAGCGGACTGTGAGAGAGAGCATCGCCTTTAGCAGCTTGGCAGAAAATGAGACGGCCTTGTGGGCGAAATGGGTGTGTCCTGCTTCGGACCTTTAACACGTTAAGTAGTAACCCACCTCTTCATTTAAATGCTTTCAGAAATTCTAACCCCGTAAGCGCGGTTGTGAGTACAAGACCATTTCCAAATACACATATTTACATGTGCTGCGGTTTCAGAACGCACCGAATATAACATTGGTTACGATCTAGAAATCGAAATATCACTGAGGTTTCGACGGGTTATGCCTGTTAAGCGCACGGTCTCACGAGGACACGTGACCTCCTCCAACTCTGGCACCTGTCTGTGTGGAGTTCGCACGGTCTCTTTCCCGGAGTTGTTGCGGGGGTTCGGCGACTACTCCGGTACGGGCCGTTACGGTACGGCTGTTTGGAGTTCGCCTGTGCCCTCTGCGGTGTTCAATTCAATTCAATTCAACTTTATTGTCATTAAACTTACACAGGTGCATAGTATAATGAAAAGTGTTTCTCATGAGTCACTCAGGTGCAGTATATAAATAGGACAGAACATAAGACAATAGACAGTTACACAATAGCAATAACAGCAACATGTAATAACATAACATAAATAACATGTAATCAAGTAATCAAAACTGTGCAAAATTCTGCAAACAGAGAAAATTTAACAGGACAAAAACAGTGCAAGGCAATTCTTGGAACAGTGCAAAAAAATAGTGTGGTTAAAAGGAGGATGTTAGGAGAGATCATAATAAGGTGGAAGGGAGTGGGGGTGTCGTTGATTTTCTTCCCGGAGAAACGTATAGTTTCCGTGAAGCAGCGACCCTTAATGAGAGTAAGGGGCTTCCTGATAATGAGTGGGTACTCCACTCAGTCCACCCAAGAACTAACCCCAGCAGGTCTGCCTGGGGTTTGTCCTTAGGCCGCCCTCTCCCAGAGACGCCACGGTACGAAATCGCACAGCGATCCAGGTCGATTCCACTGTTAACAGCAAAACCTGGCGCACGCGTGTCCGCGTCAGTGGGCTACTGTGGGCTAGTCCGCGCTTTAAGTGGTCCACAGGAAGACGCTTGGCATCGGCCCCTCGGTTCACAAGCGCCTACAGAGGTCCTGGGCAGAGACCAAAATGCACATTGTGATGACTGACTCAGGGGGAAGGTCTCCAGACGTGCTGTGCAGACCAGTGTGGCGACAGAAGCGTCGGTATCGCCTGTATAATAATACAGCTACAGTATCTATAGAATAACGTCACTCTGACCGCAGCGATTGCAGGTCGCAGAACCGTTTAATTCGCAGGAGCACCGCAGCAAAGTGGGATCTTAGGAAGACTCTGCCTGAGTGACGTGAATAGCTTCACACTTGATTAGTGCTCCAAGAACCACACGGATTAGTGCTACTTCTATAGAACCACTCTGGTCATAAAACACAATGATGTAATTGTTAAATTACCGGATAGTCGTGGCCTAAAACACGGGTGAAACCTTAGCCGTCTTCAATACCCTGTATTACCCTATGATACTCCGGGGCCAGGGGTAAATTAAAACATTACACCGCTTGGCTTTAGGTACTTGTAGGTGGTAGGGTGCAGTCAAAATGAACTGGATATGCGACCTCTGGGCAGAACGTTTCGAACTCAACATACAGCAAACACGGTATTTCGGGTTTCCAGAGTTTAAAATGGTCTTATAAATAGCATCTAGGAGAGCACAAAACGCAATCACGATTGTTCAGCTACCCAGCTGCATCTCCCCAGTGCTCGGCTCCTTGTGAGCAGCACCAAGAGGTGTCAGAGGTGCTGGGGGTCTCGCTTTAATTTAATGCAGGCCCATCTGCAGTGTCGGAATCGTGTAGGCGACACCAAAATCTCACCAGGAGGGGAGAAGGAAGTGTATAAGCACACGTTTCTCGGAGCGTAGCCTTCTGCGATTTTTTTTTTGTGTGGAAACTGCCGTTTTAACCCTTGCAGGAGCTGAGCACTGTGAGCTCCACTGCGATGACCCGGACTCTTGAAGGGAACACGCCACGGCCACATCCACCCGCTGCAACTCCGCTGCCGGCCTTCCGCTCAGTCCCCGACGCGCTGCGACACGGTGTAACTGCTTGCGTGCACACGGGTCGACCCCGTTTTGCCGAGAATGAATCCTTGCTTTATGCGCCATTATTACCCGTTTCCGAGTCCTGTTGCGACTTTTCTTTCAAATGCAATATCAGGATTTTGAATAGACAAGTTGCACCAGCCCGCAAGGCGATGTCTTAATGAACACAGTTTAAGCGTCTCTCTTCCGCCTAGCAGTTTTGCTGTATCTGGTAGGAGACTGCGCGGGTGCAGCAGACGGCTCCCGCAGTTGTCATCCTGCCTACTGTCGAAAACAGCGGTGCCTGACGGCCGAGAGACACACTGACCTATTTTGAGGGGGGCTTCGGAGAGTATTCGCATGCCGGGGGAAGCGAGTTCAACGTGCTGGCTGTACCGCAACGACTTTTATCAGAGGACATTCTCGGGCCGCTGGAGACATGAACCCCCAGCACCGTATTGACCGCGTCGGGGCGATGTTCACGGGTGCTGGGGGTGCGCTTGAAGCTCCTGGCTCCCTCCCAGACAGGGAAACGGGCTCCGTCTGTGCACACTCAGAGGCGTACACACTGTACCTCGTCACCCACTAACATCTGGGTTTGAATTCGGCTCGGGCTGCCTTCTGTGTGTAGTGTGCACGTGTCCTCCCCGGGGCCAGAAAGATATTCTGCGTAGGTCAATAGCGGAGCTTGGGTGCATCGCAAACGCATTCTCGTTAAAGGCTGCGACTGATGGTTGAACACAACAAAGGGATCATCAGGCCACCCGTTAAGCCCCTGAGCTCTAGCAGTTTAAATACCGTCCAGCCCGAGCCACACACTGTTGCTGTACAGCTGGTTAAAGCTATACCCACTTCCCATTCTCTTCCTGCCCCTAGCAGATGTAACACAGAGTGCCTCTAATCTCTGTCTAATTCCACTGATGAGAAAGGCCTCATTACTGATGGCAGGGAAGGTTCTTATGCAACTGGACAAGACATTGATGAACACCACTCTCCTGGTTATCCGGTTACACAACAAGCTTTTTTTATATATAAAAAAGACATTACGTGATTTTAAATTAACGAGCATGTACAGTATGATAGTGCAGGCATCAGTTGGGCAAGCATGCTCCCCTTCCAGATAGCAAAGGGGGTCCCCAAATGGCATATGGCAACTAAGTCAAATTAAAGGCAGCCAACAGAAACGGTCAGCGGCCATATCACCCTGCGGCTCACAGCTGGCACCCTGGTCAGTATCTGGATGGGAGACCTCCTGGGAAAAACTATGGTGCCGTCCTTCAGATGAGATGTAAAACAAGCTCCTGACTCTCTGTGGACATTAAAAATCCCAGGGCGTTTCTCGAAAAGAGTAGGGGTGTTACCCCAGCGTGCTGGCCAAAGGTCCCCCTGGCCTTTACCAATCATGGCCTCCTAATAATCCCCATCTCTGAACTGGCCTCATCACTCTGCTCTCCTCCCCACTGAGAGCTGGTGTGTGGGGAGTGTACTGGCAAATCATCCAGGTGGGGCTGCACACTGGTGGTGGTGGAAGGGATCCCCATTACCTGTACAGGGCTTTGAGTTTGAGTGTCCAGAAACGTGCTATATAAGTGTAAGCAATTATTATTATAAAAAACATCTTTGCCTCCTCATGCACCCACCACAGGTTGTCACAGAGAGAGTCCTGAACAGATCAGTAGTCCTCCGCCCCAAGCTTATATTGGCAGCATGTACTGTAAAATAAGAATCCCATAATGGAGACACCACTCATGAGTACACATCACTCATCAACACAGCAGACTCACAGCCGGCCTGCCTGGTATTATCTAACTCCAGATATTTACAGTACAGTAAGAGTCCTGCCCAGATAAGGGTCAGTACTGGCCCTACTAATGTTCAGTCACAACATTAACTGAAACACAGGTTAACCATCACACTGTTTCTGATCCTGCACTACTGGAGTATCTAGAGAAGGCTGATGCTGAAACGTGCTTGGGGATTATTCGGTATTTCTCAGCCCAGCGGACCTTTTACCAAAGGGCGTGTGGAGTTTAGGGACAGGCCTTCATGGCTTTCAAGGGAAGTTGGCCTCATACTCAGACAAGATTACTAAAAACACTTAAAATGCTGAAATATGTTGGGAGGAAATAGATTTATTGTTGTGATCTAATTACTTAAGTTGTGGTGTTGAAAGTTTTCAAATTTTTTGCAGAACTAGTATTGGCACACATACCATTTCTCCAAGCTTTAAGCAGACCGTTTGAAGGAGGTGATCTCACAGCCTCCCTCCTCACAGCCTGTGGAGGGCTGATGCGATGGGCAGAGAGCCAGTCTTGAGGCAGAATGCCTGCCTGCCTGTCTGGCGATGGACACATGGTCTCTCACAGCTGAGCCTGTCACTCCAGATCACACAGTGTGGGAGAGGGGCTCTCTCCAGGAGACAGAGAAACAGGCTGAGACGGTCTGTGATGCAGCACTGTGTGTCTGCCTCTGGACATTACAGCTTCTCTTCTGTCCCTCACTGCTGATGAGAATGACATCGGGCTACAATCGAGCAAGTTAAAAACAAATGTCCTTCATGCACACTCATCCAGGCAATATTCTCCGCTGACCACTAGGTGTCATTCTGGGTCTGTGTGTACAGAGAAATGCCAGTCACAAACTCCAGGGGTTCATAATAATAATAATTAATAATTAATTCCTTACACTCATACATCACTTTTCTGGACACTCCACTCAAAGCGCTTTACAGGTAATGGGGATCCCCTCCACCACCACCAGTGTGCAGCCCCACCTGGATGATGCACCAGTACACTCCCCACACATCAGCTCTCAGTGGGGAGGAGAGCAGAGTGATGAAGCCAGTTTGGTGATGGGGATTATTAGGAGACCATGACTGGTAAAGGACAGGGGGAAATTTGGCCAGGACACCAGGATAACACCCCTACTCTTCTCGAGAAACGTCCTGGGATTTTTAATGACTACAGAGAGTCAGGACCTGGGTTGTACGTCTCATCAGAAGAATAGCACCATTTTTACAGTATAGTGTCCCCATCACTATACTGGGGCAGGAGGACCCACAAAGACTGCAGGGTGAGCGCCCCCTGCTGGCCCCACTAACACCTCCTCCAGCAGCAACCTTAGGTTTTCCCCAGGAGGTCTCCCATCCAGGTACTGACCAGGCTCACACCTGCTGAGCTCCAGTGGGCTGCCAGCTGGGAGTTGCAGGATGATATGGCTGCTGGTGAATTTCAATCAGTCATAAACTCCACTTGCTTTAATATAAAAGCACGCTGTGCACAAGGGAACGACAGTGGCTATTGGGGGAGATATGAAGGAGCCCACCCTGATTTACACCAGGCTTTACTGTGCAGGAGGCTATTCAAGCCTTGAGCATCCTCCAAGCATGACACCAGTTTGGAGGTCAACATTAGAGTCATGTGAGGTGCCAAAAGGGATCAAATGTAACAGAGCCCTGTGTCTGTAACTGAAGTGAACATGTGCAAGTCTCTCCATTTCTATAGCCTAAGAGGAACAGAGCCAAGGTTCTAGGTGACCCTCAAAACAAAGACTTCAGAAAAAGATGAGGGGTCGTGTTTTACAACACAGCAGCTCAAGGAAACTAAGCATTGTCGAGAATGAGCAGCATTTGGTAAAGAGTGCAGAAGTGGATCAATAATTAAGAAAAAAGGTTCAAGCGCTGTTTTTATAAGTGGAGAACAAAGATACCAGGTAAGGGTCAGAGATATAAAGGGAAAGGTACTATATTTATCCACTAGTCCTCTGGCCCTGGGGTGCGGGGGAGTTAAAATAGATTTTCTGACCCTCTGTCTCAGTGGGGCTATCCACCCCCCCACTCCCAATCCCATCTCCCCCCACTCCCTCGCCAGGACACCTCATGCTGCTGTCAATCCCGACCCTGGAAACAGCATGGAGAACAACAAGAGCTGGAGCTCCTTTCTCACAGGCAAGTCCAGGCGCTGGGCCGCTTCAGTTAAATACAACACAGATACCATGCATGTCTATAGGGCCTGTATCCTTAACAGAATATGTGTCTCTAACAGTAGCTCAAGTAGGGGGCTGCGTCAGCAGGCGTAGGCTGGGAAGGAGCAAGTAAAGGTTTATTGCACGCTGAAAGGAGAAGAAAAGTCCATGGGTGTCACCCGAAGAAGGCTCCACAGCCGAAACGTTTTTTCTGTTCTTCTCTTTTCAGCTTGGAATAAACCTTTTACTTGTTCCCTATGCGTCTCTAAAACAATCTGGTTCAGAATGAATTGGGGTTCAGAGCCTAGAAGCTCATAAGAGAGTGCTCAGAAAACCTCTCATCAGACATAATAAGTGACTGAAATGTGTTTTGTTTTGGCTTACGTAGATCTACCGTATCTTTAAGGCAGCCTAGAATCTTTCATTTCAGACATTGTTTTGTTTATGGTTCAGTTAATTCGGTAGACTTCTAGGAAAGGTTTTCATAAGAAGGCACAGTAAATCTGCCTTTCTAATTATTAGGATCCTAAACCAGCCTGTCTTCTTTAAGGGCGGGGAAGTACATCACTCAGCCTGGCAGACTGACAGCAACTGTGTTCTGGGCTGAGGGTAGAATTAAACCATTTACCATGAAGCATGCAGGCTTATTTTTTGCTCTGTCAGTCTGAAAGGACCTTCACTAAGCCTTTAACTTAGAACATTGGGCTGCCTGTGTACAAAAACAAAGCCCATGGAGACTGCCAATATCTACAGCTGCTCAGGAAAAGAGACTGCAGGGAGACCTACAGGGCAGCTCCAGTGACATTTGAGTGCTGGATTGTTCCAAAGAGAACTGTAACACTCCCACACAGAGATAGCAGTGTCCACTTTAAAGGGCATCAGGAACCAGAAGAGTGGCGTGTGCACAGCTGTGGCGCGTTGACTGTGCGAAAGTGTGTCTGCTCAAGAATTCCGCATGCTCTCCGCCTGCAATCTCTAAAAAAGCAAACTGGGCTGCTGCCAGTCGCCAGGGTAATTGTTTGCGCGATGCAATTTAGCTGCGATCACTTACAACAGCGCAAGATTCTCCACTTTCTTCACAAAAAAGGGATTCTTGTGTTTTTTTGTTTTTCAAATTGACACGACGCTAACAGGATGTGGTCCCCTTAGGAAATAATATTTTGGCCCCATAATAATACCGATAACATAACGATGCAGATAAGGAACAAAGAGGCAAGCAAAGCACAATGACAATGCAAGTGGAAGATACTCAAAGTGAGTGGCAGTATTAAAATCTGAGCCTCAGATTGTGAATGGTAGAAATGGGAGCTGTAAGAAATAACTCTGTACTGTGCTGAACCTATCTACAGACTTTCACTTAATTCCTCTAATCATAGAGCTGGGATTTAAGCCAATTAGCCTGGGTGGGTCAAATAGCTCGTTTTTCACTGCAACATCTAACAAAGGTTAGGGTGGCTGCTCACAGTTTGGACTGAGAAAGGCCATTCAGTTTAACACAATAATAAGGGGAAGGCGAGCAGTAGCTCAGTATGCACCAGTATTCTCTCTGGGGAATTATACTAGAAAGAAACTGAGCTGTGAGTCCAGAGGTCTGGACAGCACTGACACAGCGCCACCTGGTGGTTCTGGAGTATATCTGCCCCTCTGTCCCCTGCAGTGTGCCTGGCCTGTGTCCTGACAGCCCAGGCAGACATCAAGGCTGAAGCCCAGGTGGGCCAGCTGTTTGTCCACGAGCTGGAAAGGAGCGTCTATCAACACGACTTCCCCCCTTACCTGAGGCACTACGGTAAGTTGCTGGAGAGCCACCTCAAAAAACAATCTCAAGAAATAGTCACACACACGCAGCTGGAGCAATTATTCAATAACCCTTACTGGGGGGCGAATCCTTACCCCTGTGCTTCTGTTTCCCCTTATGTCTTTCTAATGAAAGACACCCCTTTCAAAAAGGTCATTTACAGTGGTTATCCTTGCCGCCTCCCACCCCCAGGACCCTGGGTTGAAATCCGGACCCAGGGTAGCTGTGTGGAGTTTGCATGTTCTCCCGGATTCCCGCTGGGTGGTCTGTTGCCCCCCCCCCACACAACTGGCTCCTGGTGCACGTATGTGTGTATGTGTCAGCGTGTGCCCTGCGCTGGCCTGGCATCCTGTGCAGGGAGTACCCCACTTTGCGCCCGCTGCCTGCAGGGATGGCCTCTGGCTCCCCGAAATGGATGAAGAGGTTAGAAGATGAATGGTGTGATGAATGAATTTAGGAGCCCCTTCAGTTAGTGGTCAATATCACACACGTCAAGGGGTGCTGAAGCCAACAGTTTTCCATCTAGTGATCCTACAGTTCAAACTCGGGATATCGTTGCGAATGAACGGGCAGGAATCGGAACGTACGAGCCTGGCTGGATGACGAGGTCCAGGAGCTCTCTGACCTCGGCCCCTGTGCTCTCCCCCTGGCCGAGCAGGGATAGTGTACGACGACTCCATGGTGTTCAAGTGCAACCTGCAGCACCACCCCGATCTCCCGCGCTGGCTGCGCTACACCCAGAGGAGCCCCCGGCACAACGGCTTCCTGTACGGCGCCCCCGAGAGGACAGGCAGCGCGGTCATCGAGGTACCGCCCCGAGACCCAGCCTCGCGCCAGCACACCAGTGAAATGCTGCACTAGAAGCTGGTCCATCTATCTCGCGCACACTTAGGATCATCTCACAGCTTTACTACGTAATTAATCTGCCTTCCGTGATTCCACAGCAAATGTCTATAACTGTGCATGCACCTCTGGAAGAACATGTGGAAGAAAAGTGTCTAAAACGCTGCCTTCAAACAAAGTAGCGTCAGTGCAGCAAGAGAACCATTTTTCCCCACAGGAGGCAGAACTGCATTACTGCACATGCTATGGCAAAAAATGTACAGTATGATGTCACTGGGCCCTTCTGAAATAAAACCCTGTTCTTACCAGGGGAAACACAGCACTGTAGAGAGCCTGAAGTCATGCCCAGAATCTAATCTCGCTCGGCCAGAGCTGGGTGATCCTGCTCCTGCAGGGAGGGGAGTGGCTGTGGGTTTTCATCCCAGCTCCACTCCTAATGAGCTGGTCACAGGCTGAACTGGAGAAACATCTGCAGGGTTATCAGTTGCTTTAATGAGACTCTGAAAACTTGCAGACACACCAGCCCTCTAGGAACTGGATAGAATACCCCTGCTCTAAACCCACTGAAGTTCACAATGTCCTTGTTAAAAGAGTCCACCGATTCTTAATCAATAACTGCCGTTTTTTGTATATTGTTTTATATGCTTTGTGTACAGAGCAGAGGCATGCAGCCCTTGCAGCTCTAGGGCGCTGATCTCCATTTGAGGCAGGGGTGCCTGTCTGTGTGGAGTTTGCATGGTCTCTTTTGTTCTTATACGTTTTTCTTTGCATACTCTAATATTGTCTTACTACCAAAGGCTTAATGGGTTAGCTCGCTACTTTAACACATCCATTATGTGAAAAAAAACTGAGCATCCCACCTCATTAATCTGAGCTGTCAGGAGTGGATTTTGAGACCTCTCCAAGTGCTGGTTTCTCTAAACTCACTGCACACATCACAATAAAGACTACACTCTATTTCACCCTCCTTTCCTGGGCTCACGCAAATAGTGAGATGTGTGATTCAGCTCAATAGCAAAGTGTTCTGAAATACGACTGTTCCATATTACTCAAGAACCAAGTTTATTTTTTGTCTGATTGACAGATCACAGTTATAAATCAAAGGACATACGACACTTTAAGAAACAGGATGGTGATCCGCGTCAGTGAACCAGGTAAGGGGCAGTTCTCTGCGGATACTGTATAGGATAGCATTTAATGATACAAATTTAAGAAGAAAAAATAATTAGTTTAAATGAATTAGCTGCTAAACCAACTGACATCTTCATGGATATACAGTATATGGGCTACAAGGGTGGGGAGATCAAAAGCATTTCTTTTATGTCTCCCATATTTTGGAGAATTAAATTGTACCATAATATTTGTCTAAAAAAGCCTATTTGGGCTACAAGACAGCGTCTTTTGCAGCGCACAAAGAGGAAAAGAAAGCAGGTAATGCTGTAACTTTATGATAAATAATTCTGAGTATCCTGTGATTGCACAAAACCAGTGATGACTCAAGCCTCTTGGACTTGCAGCAAAGATGATGCCCTACCAGGTGGACTTCTTCCTCCCCAACAGAGATGTGGAGGAGGTGCTGCCCCCTGGTGAGCAGGAGGTGCTGAAGCAGTATGCAGCTGCCCTGTGGAAGCCACACAAGCCAGATATGATCAACATCAGCTCCGCCCTGGACCGGGGAGGCAGAGTGCCCCTCCCTTTACCAGCACACAAGGAGGGGTGAGTGCACCGTCTGTGAAGGGGACAGTCAACTGGACCTTCCAAGACACTAGATTGCAGGATTGGAGTTGGATCATTCAAGTCTTCATTGTTCAAGGCCCGACATGTAGCCCTTGCAGTCAACAACATCTGCTGCACACTTTGCAAACACAGTTGTTTGGGCAGGCCAACTAACTTTATAAGTGTCTTGTTGGACAGTGGTGAAAGGATTGTTAATGACATTTCAATTTTATTCACTGCTTTAAGATTCCAGTCCATACTATTCAGCTGGGGCCAGGATTGGAGACCACTGATTGAAAGAACTGTCCAATCAGTTCATGGAATTCATATACTGTATCTGAGTCAAAGCACTATTAAGTTCAAGATGAGGCTTATTATTTTAAAGACGTTAAGATTTGAGTGGGGCACTAGTTGGAAAAGTACGGTTTTGCACAGTAGCGTTCTCCTGGAGAAGCTGTAAAGCAAGTGAAATACTTCCGCAGACACTATGCAAGAAGTAACTAACAACTTTAGAACAAACTAACAAAGCCATTTCAAACCAAATTTGCCTTGAAGCATAAAAACGCCGACACAAATCAAAGCCCTTTAAGACATCGATAACTGATGTGTTTTTCGTAATTGCACATTGTCAGCAGTGGCTGTTTGATGCACTGATGTGCTGGCATCCAACTGCTCTGGTTAGGAGGAAGTTGGAGGTAAGATTTCCAAGGCAACAGAAGCTCTAGGGAAGCACCTAATGGCCAGCTAACTGGGCCACATACTGACAGACATGGACAGGGCTGGCTGTGCTTTATAAAGGTTTAACATCATTTCCAATCACAAGCGTGACACTCCTGAGACATGCCCCTGTGCAAAGTGACTTTTTACAGAAAACTCACAAGTAACTAAGAAACTCTCTGAATTAAACTGTGCATGCAAATATATTGTAGCCCAGCAGAGATTTGATACGCCACCAGAGCAAATCCTGTTCTGGGGACACACATACATGTACCTACTGGTCCATGTTCCACATGAGCACTCAGAGAATTGAATCCTTAATAGACATAATAACGGGCTTCGTTTTCACTTCCTAAACACGTAGGAGCTGCCTTTTAAGCACTGCATTTAAATAACTTGAAACTGTCAACCTTTGGGGAAAAAGAAGGTTCTAACAGAGCATTTTGTTGGTTTGTTCGAATAAAGAGCTCAGCTGCCATGCAAGTTCCTTTGTTTTTCTGGAAGTGGAGCAATGAAAGAATTAGGCATCAAACTTTTAACTTTTTAAGTGTCCCCGCGACGTGACACTGAACAGGTTCTGCTATGGGGGGAAAAAAAAGGGTTTAACGTCTTTTTAACATTTCCAAACTGCTCTTACGAACAAGATGAAGGCTGTACTCTTCCTTATTAGACTGAGCAACCTTAACATCTGATACAACACCAAGCGCAAAAACAGATAAGCATGTGCCAGCAAGACTTTCTGGGTCAAAACGATAAGCATGTCGTACAGAAGTCCTCCGGGAAAATTGTGCAATCATGCAATTCCGGAGACAAACCCACTCCTGCTCTGACTGGGGGAACAGGGGGCCAGGAAGCATAGCTCTTAGAGCCCAGATGTGATCCGTCACTAGATGGCAGTGTGGAGCACTCCTGCTGGTGAAGGCTGCCGAGCCAGCAGCAGCAACAAGAACACACAAAGCCCTTGATCAAGGCGACATTGTACGCCTGCTCATCATGAATTCAAGAGAGAGTGTAACGGCCAGGCACCGTTGTCACGGTGACTCACAGTGCATACAGCTCTACAGCCTGCTGGCGCTGCACAGCCTGAAGAGGGCCAACAGCCTGCATGGGGCTGAACCCACCACTGCACAGCTGTTAGGAGGTCGCCATGGCAACCCCTGCCAATGCACGGTCATCTGGCTGCTCGGTAATGACCCAGATTTTTTTTTT